ATCGCCCCCTCCCGGACCCGCCGCCGCCGCTCGCCCTGGTCACGCCCCTCTATTATTATGCAAATGAGGCTTCGGCCGCCGCCGCTCCCGATTGGCCGCGCGCCGCCGGCCCGCCCAGCGCTGCCTCGCGTGGATTGGTCGGGGGCGGTGACGTCATGCAGAAGCGGCGGAAGTGGGGCGGGGCCGGCCCGCGCGGCGCGCGCGCGCGGCGGGACCCTCCCCCTCCGACCAATCAGCAACGGGCGCGGGGACGAGGAAGTGCTATGGGGAGGGCGGAGCCTTAAAGGGGTAACGGCACCGACTAGCCCTGGGCGACGCCTTAAAGGGGCAACGGCGCGGCGAGGTCCCACCTCCACCGGCCCCCAGACCTTGTTCCAGTGATCCCCAGTGACCTCCCAGTGCTCCCAGTAACCCCAGTGCCCACCTCAGGGCTTATCTAGAGACCCCAGTTACCCTTTCCCAGCAGCCCCAGTATCCCACGGGTGATCTCAGTGGTCTCAGCACTCACCTCTGGGGTCCCAGTGGCGCCTCACCGCTCCCAGTGACCCCAGTGCCAAGCAGGGGGTGTCCATGACACCAGTAGCCACCCCAGAGTCTCAGTGAACCCAGTACTCCCCCCATACTTCTCCCAGTTACCCCAGTAACTGGGGTACTGCTCCCAGTCACTCCATTACCTACACAAGAGGAGATCCCAGTCACCCCAGGACCTCCAGGCTGCTCACAGTCACCCCAGTATTCACCCAGCTGGGTATCCCCATGATGCCTGTAAGTCAGCCTAGAGTCCCAGTGATCCCAGTACTCCTCTCAAAGAGGTTCCCAGTGACCCCAGTACTGCTCGTACTGGTCCCAGTCACCCCAGTACTTACTCAAAAGGGCGTCTCATTTGCCCCAGTGTCCCCACACTGCTTCCAGTGACACCAGTATTCACCCAAAGGGTGGGATTCTACAACTCCAGTAGCCACCCCAGAGTCCCAGTGACGCCAGTATTCCCTCCACGCTGCTCCCAGTCACCCCAGTACTGCCCATACCACCCTATTGCCCAGAAGGTCCCAGTTACCTCAGTACCCCCACATCACTCCCAGTGACTCCAGTACTCACCCAAGCAGGGGGTCCCCACGGCTTCAGTAGTCACCCCAGCATCCCAGTGACCCCAGTACCCCCCCACTGGTTCCAGTGCCCATCAGCAACAGCACACTCAGCCCCTGTACTGTCACCCCTGTAGTCTGACACACTCCATTTGGGTGCATACTGGGATACTGGGATTACTGGGAGCAGCGCTGTGGTGCACTGGGGTCACTAGAACTCTGAGGTGACTACTGGCATCATTGGGACTCCTGCTTGGGTAGGTACTGGAGTCACTGGGAGCAGTGTGGAGGTACTGGAGTAACTGGGAGCTCCTCTTGTGTGGGTAATGGGGTGACTGGGACCATTATGGGCTGTACTGGGATTACCAGTAGCACTGGGGGGGGAGTACTGGAGTCACTGAGATTCTGGTGTGACTACTGGTGTCTTGGGGACCCCCTGCATGAGTGGGTACTGGGGTGACTGGGACTGTAATGGGCAGTGCTGGGGCTACTGGGAGCAGTGTGGGGATACTGGGGTGACTGGGACCTCCCCTTGTGTAGGTACTGGGGTGACTGGGATCGTTATGAACCGTCCTGGGATGGATGACTCAGGGTGGTGTGGTGGTTCTGGGGGTCACTGGACTGTTATGGGCAGTACTGGGGTGACTGGGAGCAGTGTGGGGGGTAGTACTGGAGTCACTGGGAGAAGTGTGGGGGCAGCACTGGTGTGACTTGGGACTGTCATGGGCAGCACTGGTGTGACCGGGAGTAGTGTGGGGGTGGTACTGTGGTCACTGGGAGAACTGTGGGGATATTGGGGTCTTGGGAGTGTTATGAGCAGCACTGGTGTGACTGGGAGCAGTGTGTGGATACTGGTGTTACTGGGAGCAGTATGGACAGCACTAGTGTGACTGGGAGCAGTATGGGGGTACTGGTGCGACTGGGACCGTCATGGACGGCACTGGTGTTACTGGGAGCAGTATGGGGGTACTGGTGTGACTGGGAGCAGTATGGACAGCACTGGTGTAACTGGGAGCAGTGTGGGGGTACTGGTGTGACTGGGAGCAGTACGGACAGCACTGGTGTGACTGGGACCGTCATAGACAGCACTGGTGTGACTGGGAGCAGCGCTGGCACAGCACTGGTCTAACCGGGAACCCCCCCCCCCCCCCCCTACCCCCCCCCCCCCCCGGCACCAT